AACCACCCATTCCTTTCATTGCACCAGCCCTGGCTTTCCCCAACCCATCCATTGTTGCATTCTGAAATTGAATTTGTTCCATGCTACAAGAATTATCCTGAGCCAACATTTTCATATTAACCTTCTGAGCTTGTGGACTCTCCATAATAATAGCTTCATTCTGAACCGAGCTATCCACAATAACATTCCGGTATTGAGTATAATCCATGCCACTTGACTCCTTATGTACCTTATCTTTCAACTTCTGTTCAATCTCCTGACCACCAGTCTCCTTCTGCAGCACACCCTTCTGTACATTTTCAACAACTCTCCAGACTGAATTAGGAGAAGGATTTGTCTGTTTACTGCCAACAGATTGCGGTCTCTGTCCAGATTTATTAATAGGTCTCTTCCTCCTAGTGACAATTGTCCATTCCCCTTGATCAACATCAACAACTACAGAGTTTGGGACACTCCCCTTACTATCACAAGCAAGATCATGCTTCACTCCCGAACCAGCTGCCTCAGTACCTCCCAGTTTCTGTGAATCACCAATCTCTAAGCCCTGCTGCTTAGGTAGAACAACAGACTCATTACACAGCTCAGCTTTATGGCCAACCCTTCCACATCTTAAACATATTTGAGGAATGCCTTCATATTCAATTGGTTGGAAGAACATACCTTCCAACCCATGAGCACAAATACCCTTAGGTAACCTTTTAGATAAATCCAGTCTAATACAGATGCGCGCAAACGCACATCTATTCCAAAGCTTAGTTTGCTCATCCATTAATAATGGTTCCCCAATGCGCCTAGCCAGCCTAGCTAGATTAGCTTCATCCCAATATTCTAACGGTAAGTTTGGAAGTCTTACCCACACAGGAGATGTAAAACCTCTAAAAGATTTAGAGGAAATCCCTGTTGACCACTGCTCCACCCCAATAATCTGACCAGCTACATACCACGGACCTCCAATAAGAACATTATCCCTAGCCTCCATATTTACAAACCAACAGAGAAAACAGTCAGATCCCAATGGTGTAATCTGAGTCAAACCAAGATGACTCCACTTTCTTTGCAATTCATTTTGCACAACCCAAAAAGGAAGACACCTGCCTAATAGGCTGCCAACCAATGTTCTGCTCAACTTCTGAATATTTCCCCTAGCTTTACCCAAATCCAATTTAACTGAGCCATCTTCCCGCAAAAAAACCACCAGCATCTTCATTTAAATTTAGTTTGACAGCAGGGGATTTCTTCCATGCATTCCTACTATTTCCCGTATCAACAAATTCTTTCTTAACTGCCTGCATAGCAGCCGGAGTTTGCCACGCTTGGATTGAAGGAAACTCTTTAGTCTGATCATTCCCACAAACACCTGAAGTGCAACCTGCAGAATTAGGCTTGATATTGCCTCCAAGACCAGCAATATTACCCTTAATTGGTTGTACACCCTTCACCTCAGGTACCTTCTCCAGAACACCAAAATTCAAGCCAACAACACCATCAACTCGAGCCATGTCCACCTTCGCAAGGTCTCCAATACGACTCATCCGCCCAAACGTAAATAAAGTTTTATCAGGTTCAAACACAGGATTATCCACAATCTTACCTACTTTAGTAGATTTCGCAGCAGCAAGCACAATTTCCGTCTCTCTTGCCAACTGTGAGTCCATAGCCATATCGCCTTGCCCTCTTTGGTCAACAGCAACCAACTTCTCATCAGAAGAACAAACATTCACCGCCTCCTGCATAACCTCTTCAATAATCGACAATCCAGTCTATTCAACATCCACCGCACAACCACCAGTAACAACCGAATCCATCTCCTCTGAATGATCCACAGATCCCACACTAGCCACAACTTCATTAAGGAAGTTATCAGCCTCAGAGCCCCCAAGAATCTCCATCGCATCCTCACGATTAGAAGACCCCTGCAATGGCACCACCAGTACATCCATCATCTGAACTCCAGTTAGAGACTCCCTCTCTAGCTCAGACGAAGGAAGCACATCTTTCCCAACATCCAAACCTTCATCAGATCCACCCGATCTAGAAGATCCAGCTCTACTCGGAGGTCTAGACGCACGACCTCCCAAGACAGACGATGAAAGCCTCCGTTCACCACCTCCTCCATTCTTACCTCCCACAGCATTCCCCCCCGTCGCAATCTTCACTCCATCTCCGCGACCAGAACCACCTCCAACCTTCTTCCCTCCTCGAAACTCCTTTCCTCCACCGCTCCTCGTCGAAGGGTGACAAGGGGGTGACCGCGGGTCACCCCCCACCATAATCCACGAGCGAACTCCGTCCAAACACGGCGACGAGAACTCCGGTCCAACTACAGCGACGAGATCTCCGATCCAAGAGAGATACCCCTCCGATCAGCGTCGCACGAATTTTTCCCTTCGAAATTGCCTTCAAATCGCTTTCGAAATCGCCTTCCAAGAGCGGTCAAGAGAGAGAGAGAGAGGGAGAGGGTGAGGGTGAGGGTGCAAGTAAGGAAGAGAGAGAGAGGGAGAGAAAGAGAGAGAGATAAAGAGAGAGAGAGTGAGAGAGAGAGGGAGAGAGAGGGAAAGCAAGGGAGAGAGAGAGGAAGCGAAAGAGAGAGAGAGCAAGGGAGAGAGAGAGAGCAAGGGGGAGAGAGAGAGAGCAATGAAGAGAGAGAGAGAGATTAAGAGGGCAAGGGAGATAGAGAGAGAAAGGGTGGAGAGAGAGAGAGGGAAAGCAAGAGAGAGAGGGAGAGAGAGATAGAGAGATAGAGAGAGAGGGTGATTGAGAGAGAGAGTGGAGAGAGAGAGGGAGAGAGAGGGAGAGAGAGAGAGAGATAGTAATTAAGAGAGAGAGAGGGGGAGATAGTGATTGAGAGAGAGAGAGATAGTGATTGAGGGAGAGAGAGAGAGAGATAGAGAGAGCAAGGGAGAGGGAGAGAGGGAGAGCACAAGAGAGAAAGAGAGAGAGAGAGGGCAAGGGAGGGAGAGGGAGAGAGAGAGTGGAGAGAGAGAGGGAGAGAGAGAGAGATAGTGATTGAGAGAGAGGGAGAGTGAGATAGTGATTGAGAGAGAGAGAGAGAGAGAGATAGTGATTGAGGGAGAGAGAGAGAGAGATAGAGAAAGCAAGGGAGAGAGTGAGAGGGAGAGCAAGAGAGAGAAAGAGAGAGAGAGAGAGAGAGAGAGAGAGAGAGAGAGCAAGGGAGATAGAGGGAGAGAGAGAGAGACAGATAGATAGAGAGCAAGGGGGAGAGAGAGAGGGAGGGAGAGTTGAACTTTTGCATTTGCTTTCATTAAAGTCCTATTACATCAAGCACCCAACAAAAAGAGACCACGATCCCCTAGGGAGGGTAAAAAAAACCTCTATCATCCTCAAGGATGGACAAAGTAACCTGAGGAAATACATATGTTAGCTGTGTCCTTTATACCCCTCTCAAAAGTATCCTCAACCGCTTTTTGAGCACAAAAATGAGCGGCTCGATTAAACTCCCTATAAGCATGAACAAAAAGAACTTTATGAAAGGAAATCAGCCATTCAAAGTCATATGTATCCTCGGACCGAAGCTTCCAAAGTGCCCCATCCTTAACCTTTTGCATATACTGTATGACGTTAGCATTGTCCCCTTCAATGATGATCCCATTAACCTCAAACATCCACTCCCAGAAGAGCTTCCCGATGTATTGAACGGCCAACAACTCCACCCCAGTACTATCCAAATGAGTCATACTCTAGCGGACCGCTACCACCAGAGAGCCCTGGTGATCCCAAATAACAATCTCGATTCCACCAGCATTGGACCTATGCAAGGCCCCATCCACATTAATTTTCAGCTAGCCGAAGGGGGGGTGGGGGACACCACGACAAATATGAGACCAATCCAGTGGATTGAATCATTGCTCCAGGCGTCTTAAAAATAGTGTGGCAGAGATGGATTCTAGAATGTTGGTGGCCAAGATCGAAATTGAGCTCCAAGCTTTACCATGTCTAATAGCATTCCTATTATTCCAGCAGTGAAAACTACACCGCAGTACAGAAGACTCCAGCGATCACCGGCCTTAGAGCGATCCTTCAAGGCAGCTTGGAGCTTAGAAAAAGAGGCAAACCTTGGCGTGGAGAAGCCCCAGCCGTCCAGGCAATGCAAAACATCCCGGAGCTGCCTGCACTGAGTCGTGACATGATCCAGGTCCTCCCGGAGACAACAACCGACCAGGAAAATGACGTCCACACAAAGCCCAGGCCGATAAAGCCAGGAAGCTGTCGGAATTAAATCTTTATAAGCTTTCCACCAAAAAATATGTTCACGGGGTCGTAACCCAAGAGAAAGGATGGAGCACACCGGATCATCCTCTCCCAAGAACGAGAATTTGAAGCAGACCAACGAGATGGAGGACCCAAGCGGGCATTGATCAATTCCAACGAATTGATAGTAAGATTAGACCAGATCTTGATGTCACAAATAATGTCGGTCAGAGAGACCCCAAAGCATTGTAGCAGTCTGGTCCTATTCCATCTCCCAACAGTGATAAAATCCTCGACCAAAAGGCCATCAATGACCTCAATATTATAGAACGTCAGCCAGATAGCAATGGCTCTGTAAAAAATCTAAACAAGATTGACCACGTCCACATCCCCGCCGTTACAAATCTGCCAGCGGACACAGTTGGTTAGGCTGTCCGCCCCACAGCGGCAATCCGCCAACCAACAGAGTCACCACGTCGCCGACGATACTGCAGCCAAGGCCAATCTCCATATTTTCTCCTCAAACACCTATGGAACAGCGTCTGCAGCTTGTTAAGAAAGCCGAAAGTGATCCGAGCCTGCAGCGGTCCCATCCAGTAATTGCTGGCATGAAAGCCAAGTCCCCCCAGCTGCCTCAATTGAGTAAGGTTCTCCCACGAAGCATAGCGTAAGCTCATATGTTTGACATCCTTATCCCACAGAAAACTTCAACAGATCTTCTCCACCTCCGTAACAACACCTCTAGGAACTAGCGTATGGGAGACCACGTACACCGTTAACGAAAGAAAAACCTAATTGACCATATTAATCCAGCCCGCAAATGATAAGTGCCTAACGCCCCAGGCAAGCGTAAGCGCATGAATTTTTTGATGGAGGTGGCTAAAGTCCGCCATCTTCGGCCTCCTAAGCGTGAACCGAATTCCCAGGTAATCCATCTCCTCAACCTTGCGACAAACAGCGAGCCTAGCAAGGCGATGTTTGGTCGAAGAAGTTGTGGAACGGCTAAAAAGGATTGCATATTTGTTTTTGATGATCTTCTGCCCCATCCACGAACAATACTCCTCCAGGATCGACAGACACTTCCTCACATTGGGAATGGTAACACCTGCAAAAATCAAAACATAGTCAGCATAGAGGAGATGGGAGACCATAGGCAACCCACCCCGATTTGCACCCCTAGCTCACAAAATCTTTGGTGAAATTGCAGCGACAAAAGCTCCAAGCCGAGAATAAACAGGTAAGGGGAAAGTGGACACCTCTGCCGGAACCCGCAACCGGCCGTAATCGCCTTCGAAAGCTGTCTATTAACCAGCACAGAAAACCATGGATTGCAAATATAACCGAGCACCCATGAGCAAAACCTCATGGGGAAACCCATCTTCGTCAGCACAATTTTAAGAGTCCGCCAGCTCATCTTGTCGTAGGCCTGTTCAAAGAGAGAGAAAAGGAGAGATAGAGAGAGAGAGAGAGAGCAAGGGAGAGAGAGAGAGAGCAAGTGGGTGAGAGAAAGAGAGCAAAGAAGAGAGAGAGAGTGAGAGTGAGAAAGAGCAAGGGAGAGAGAGAGAGAGAGAGGGAGAGCAAGGGAGAGAGAGGGAGAGAAAGAGAGAGAGAGAGAGAGAGAGAGAAAGAGAGATATAAATAGAGAGAGAGGGAGAGAGAGGGAGAGGGAGAGGGAGTGATTGAGAGAGATAGAGAGATTGAGAGAGAGAGAGAGATAGAGAGAGCAGGGGAGAGAGAGAGAGGGAGAGCAAGAGAGAACGAGAGAGAGAGAGAGAGCAAGGGAGAGAGGGAGATAGCAAGAGAGAGGGAAAGAGAGAGAGAGAGAGGAAGAGAGAGGGAGAGGAGAGAAAGTGAGTGAGAGAGATAGGCATAGAGGGAGAGAGAGAGGGAGAGAGGGAGAGATAAAGAGAGATAGTGAGAGATAGAGAGAGCAAGGGAGAGAGAGAGAGAAAGAGAGAGAGATAGAGCATGAGATGGAGAGGGAGGTACATAGATAGATAGATAGAGAGAGAGAGAGAGAGCAAGGGGGAGAGGGAGAGGGAGAGAGAGACAAAGAAAAGGAGAGAAAGAGAGAGAGAGAGAGAGAGAGAGAGAGATCAAGGGAGAGAGAGAGAGAGCAAGGGGGAGAAAGAGAGAGAGAGAGGAGAGAGAGAGAGAGATCAAGGGAGAGAGAGAGAGAGAGCAAGGGGGAGAAAGAGGGAGAGCAAAGGGGAGAGAGAGAGAGAGAAAAGAAGAGATAGATAGAGAGTGAGAGTCAAAGAGAGAGAGCAAGGGACAGAGAGAGGGAGAGCAAGGAAGAGAGAGAGGGAGAGAAAGAGAGAGAGAGAGATAAAGAGAGAGAGAGGGAGAGAGAGAGGGAGAGAGAGTGAGGGAGAGAGAAAGAGAGGGAGAGGGAGAGAGAGGGAAAGAGAGAAAGAGGGAGAGAGATAGGGATTGATAGAGAGAGAGAGTGAGAGAAAGATAGAGCGAGAGAGAGGGAGAGGGAGAGCCAAATTTCTGCATTTGCATTCCTCAACAAAGCTATTACAAACAAGTAAACTAACTAAAGGCTAGCATGATCAAGAATCTGAGAGAGAGAGAGAGAGAGAGAGAGGGGCAAGGAAGAGAGAGAGAAGCAGAGAGAGGGCGCGAGAGAGAAAATGTGAGAGTGAGATAGATAGAAATAGAGGGAGAGAGAGGGAGAGTGAGATAGAGGGAGATAGAGGGAGAGAGGGAGAGAGAGGGAGAGAGGGAGATATTGAGAGAGATAGAGATAGGTAAAGAGAGAGGGAGAGGGAGAGAGAGAGAGAGAGTAAGGGAGAAAGAGAGATAGAGTGAGAGAGAGATATAGAGAGAGGGAGAGAGAGAGAGGGAGAGAGAGAAAGAGAGAGAGAGAGAGAAAGAGAGATAGAGTGAGAGAGAGAGAGAGATAGTGATTTAGATAGAGAGAGAGAGCAAGGGAGAGAGAGAGAGAAGGAGAGCAAGGGAGAGAAACAAAGAGGGAGAGTGAGAGAGAGAGAGAGACAGATTGAGATAGAGAGATAGAGATTGATAGAGAGAGAAAGAGAGAGAGAGAGAGAGAGGGGGGAGAGGGAGAGCTAAATTTCTGCATTTGCATTCCTCAAAAAGCTATTACAAACAAGTAAACTAACTAAAGGCTAGCATGATCAAGAATCTGAGAGAGAGAGAGTGATGGGGGGAGAATAAGAAATAGTAAGGGGAGAGAGAGAAAGCAAGGTGGAGAAAGAGAGAGAGAGAGAGAGAGAGAACAAGGTAAAGAGAGAGGGAGAGAGAGAGAAAATGAGAGAGTGAGATAGAGAGGGATAGGGACAGAGAGGGAGAGAGAGGGAGAGAGGGAGAGATTGAGAGAGATTGAGATAGATAGAGAGAGAGGGTGAGAGAGAAAGAGAGTAAAGGAGAAAGAGAGAGAAAGAGTGAGTGAGAGATAGAGAGAGAAAGCGAGAAGGAGGGAGAGAGAGATAGCTAGATATATAGAGAGATAGAGAGAGAATGAGAGAGAGAAAGAGATAGTGATTGGGGGAGAGAGAGAGAGATAGAGAGAGAGAGCAAGGGAGAGAGAGAAAGCAAGGGGGAGAGAGAGAGCAAGGTTGGGAGAGAGAGGGAGAGAGAGAGAGAGAAAATGAGAGAGTTAGATATCTGAGAGAGAGAGAGAAAGAGAGAGAGAGAGAGAGAGATAAAGATTGATAGAGTGGGAGAGAGAGAGAGAGTGATAGAGAGAGAGGGAGAACCAAATTTCTGCATTAGCATTCCTCAATAAAGCTGTTACAAATAAGTAAACTAAAGTCTAGCATGATCAAGAATTAGAGAGAGAGAGAGAGAGTGAGAGAGAGTGAGAAAGAGAGAGAGGGAGAATGAGAAAGAGCAAGGGGAGAGAGAGAGAGAAAGCAAGGGGGAGAGAGAGAAATAGAGATAGGGAGAGATAGAGAGAGAGGATGGAAGAAAGAGAGAGAGGGAAAGAGAGAGGGAGAGAGAGAGGGAGAGAGAGGGAAAGTGAGAGAGTGAGATAGAGAGTTGAACATTGCATTTGCATTAATAAGTAAGAAAGTACAAAATAAGTATGGAGCAACAAACTAAGTCTTCCCAAGACAAAAAAATAAAAGTGGGAAGAGCTACACTGGTGAACTCAAACTCCATACATGAGAGAAAACTCAAAACAAAAGCAAGAAAAACAGCAAGGTAGAGCCCCTTTGGTTCGCAAAGAGGCCAACCCCAATAACATGCCCAGGGGATCGCTGAGGAACTCATAAGACAGCTCCGGAGGGGGGAGATACCATAAGGTAGTTTAAAACAGCCCAAAGGCTGGATGATATCCCATTGCTCCAGCAGCAGTATAAGTCCCAAATGCTCCAATGGACATGTAACTAGGGGAGGCCTCATTGTTCACCAAAGGGGACAAAGTCCCCGCCAATGCTATCATGTTGGTTCTTCCTTCGCTTCCTCGGCAGCGTAGCAATAGGTCCCAATTGTAGAAGCTGCTTCTCTAAGAAGGACTTGGGAGCCTTGAGCTGCCTTTTGGAAAGATTAACAGTTGATGAAGGGCCACCTTGATTTGTTCGCTCCACATTAAAAACAATCCTCTTGTCCTTAGGAGAGTGGCCTTTTGGGTTGACAATTCTGTTAAATCTCCTCAAGGCGTTGAGCTTCATCATGAGAGGGTTGCGAGATGGGAATAGGCTCTACCGCCTTCTTCTGATCATTGGCTGGTTGCTCAATAGGGGCTCTCGGTTTGTTCCTCCTCCTGCGAGTTACAAAGTTCCAAGAACCGAGAGAACCCTCTTCATGATCCTCATAGCCATAGAGGCCATCCTGAGCTAGCTGGCTCGGTTTTGGTGGGCGGTCTGTCACTGGAGGTCCTTTGGGTAAAGCCTTAGCGAGCTGTGGATCTTGGTTTTGCTTGGCTGAATTATCTTTAGTAGGACTCTTGGTGTTGCAACTCACCCTGGCATGGCCAACCAAACCACAATCGAAACAGAAGTTCGTGAGTCCCTCATATTCGATTCTTTGAAAGAATCTGCCATGGAGGCCGTTGATCCAAACTCCCGGAAGAAGTTTCTGCGATAGGTCAATCCAAACACAAATGTGAGCAAATGAAGACTTACCCCAGGTGCTAGTGTGCGAGTCCATCCATAAAGGCTCGCCAAGAGCATTGGCAATGCGAGTGATGTTGTTGATGTCCCAATAAATGAGGGGGAGTTGGGTCAATCGAATCCAAATCGGGGAGTGGAGGCCATGCAAAGAATTAGGTGAACAAGAAGGGGACCACTTGTCCATCCCAATGATATTGCCCGCAATGATCCAAGGTCCGCTTGAAAGCACCGCATCCCTAGCCTCGTGGCTTTGGAATAGACATATAAAAGTATTCGGGGTGATGGTGATAACCTCGAAGTCCCCAAAGTGATACCATCGTCGTTTGAGCTTGCTAAGCAGATAATTGAAATAAATTCTTCTTCCCAACAGCTTAGCTACAAGAGCTTTGTCCAACTTCAAGATGTTGTCGTTGACGGAGTCCAATTCAGGCTCAATGCACAAACCGTCGCTGGCAACCCATTGATCACGGCTTAGACGACTGAGGGGCACGTTCTGAAGCTTGCTCCAAGCAAACGGCTTCTTGGGTACTCCATTCGTCATCGAGTTAGGCGCTTGTGTGGGCAGCGGTTGTAACCAAGCAGATTTCTGGGCCTTAGGATCAAAACCACAAACACCTTGTGAGCGTATACCTGTAGCACATTGACTAGAGGTGGCTTGATCCGGGGGATGTTCACACCTAATTCTTTCAGAAACACTCTCACCCATGGCACAATCCATTTCCAACATTTGATTATCTCCATCAGATCCACAGACACTACTTACCCGAGCCGAATCCTCATGCGGCAGGCCAGATTTTGCAGCGTCATCCTGATCCGCAAGGGAGGCAATTTTCGCTGGCAAAGACTCAAGCTGTTCAATTTCTCCCCTCTGGTCATCCTCCATATCCGAATGGGAATCTGAGGCCTTACCGGATTCCTCCATGTCAGATCTAGCTTCACGGTCAGACACCTCCAGCCGGTCATTTTCCATATCTGAGGAGCCCCTGTCTAATCTGCAGCTGCTATCCTCTATCGCACCGCCCAAGCAGGTCTCCTGCTCCGAGTGGGTCTCTTGCTCCGACTCAGTATCCACAGCCGACTTCGCCGTCAGAGATCCTTTGTTGGGGAACGAGTCCTGAAATTGGTCGGCATCCGCGTCCATACTGGACTCATATCTATTGCGTGACATCCTCTCCTCCATAGCCTGGGCCGATCTGCCATTCCGCGCACATCCAGCAGGCGGAGACATTCCGATTGTTTTCAAAATGAGCTCCCAAACGGCAGCCGGCTTGACCGTATATGAGCTGAGGCC